TTTTTTTCTTTTTTTTGAGTTTTCATGAAGTATTTTGGAAATGGCAGGTGAAAAATTAGATTATAACAATCATTAATTACAATTAATTACTTATATAGTATATAAAAAAATATAAAAACATTCAAGAAATAAATTATAATCTTCTATAATTCAAAACTCTTCGTTATTTTTTTATTAATTAATGTAAAAATATCCTTTAATAATTAGTAAAGGAATTATTTTGATAGAATTCAATCAAAATATCCTTTAATAAAGGGATAAATTGCAATCTTCAATTCTCAAAATTTCTTGATTTAATCCTTTGACTTGATATATGTTTCCATAATTAGCGATTATATTTATAGAACTTGAATCCAAAAATAGAATCCAAAAATAAACAACCTTCATATATATATATATATATATATATATATATATTTCACGAACTTCAGTAATTAGTCTACGCTATAAATACCACTCGTTATTTCTCTATATCGTGAAAACACACAGAGATAATAATTTTTCTCAATAAGCACTGTACTACGAAAGAAAGCAAAAAAAAAAAGAAAAAAAAAGGAAGAAAGATGGAGAAAGCTTCCATTAAGTTGGCAATCCTAATTGTTTTGATATTTTCTACAACTTGTGAGTCTCTCCCTCTTCGTATTTTTTTCGCTATTAATTTCTTGTCTACTTTTCTCTTCTGCTTAATCTGTAAGAGAATGGGAGTTCTTGAGAATTATGACGTGTGGATTGCGTTCATGGACCCAAACTATGTAATTACCTTATGAAGAGACTCAAGTTATGAATAAATCCTTTTAATTGAGTAGATTAGCTGTTTAATTCTCACTAGATCTAGGTGGCCATGGTTTGGTTAATTTGCTTTTAAAATCGCTTTGAAAGGAAATTAATGTATTTTTAATCAATACACAGATCAGTTTTGAAGATATAGTGATATCGTTGAATTAAAATAAAGTTTCCTTTTACTTAATTTATTTAATCATTTTCCATACACTTTGACAATATGTACAGAAATGATAGCTCGTGACTGATAAAACAAGAATTCTGGACAGGTTTCCTACAGCAAGGATCAGTTCAAGCTACAGAAATCACAGCAATGAAGGGCATGACATGTGTGATCGATAATGACTGTATACCCTATTGCCCTAAATCTTGCAAACGTATTTTTTGTAATCAAAACCCCTCCTCCGCAAACTATCACATGTGCTATTGCGAGAACAGCTCCTTTTCTCCTCAGCAAATGCTCATATCAATACCTTGTGTGACAGGTTAGTGGAAAGGCGGCTTCTTCTGTAAAGGGGAGGCATCACTGCCTCATTTCGCTTGCTTGACCTCATGTAAGCTAGCCAGTAGTAGTAGTAGTTCTTCTTCTACTACTGATAATAATACAAAATGTCACCTGCATTTTTGCATTAATGTGCAATGGCTGTGATTTTCTGTGCTATGTATGATTATGAGTGCTGTTACGGCCTAAATCTCTTGTCTTAGGCTTTGAATAAATTATTAATTGAGCTATTATTATGATGCAACAGTTCATGAGATAGGTTGCATCTCTTGTAATGATAATAATTAATTAACAATATACAAATCAATGACACCATAATTTACATTTTCAGATCTCCCCTCTTCCAAAATCTATTATGAAAATCCAGGATGTAATCTTCCATGTAAAGAGCTCTTCTTTTGAAGATTAAGTAATGGATTTTAAAAAGAAGTATCTGTACGCATAACTCCAGGGTCAAGCGAGGATGTCATCAAAGGCAAAAGTTGATTCAATATGAGAAAATAAATATTCTTAATTAAATCATTTTTTCTGATAATAATTATTTAATTAATTATTGAATCATCGCAGCATCTGCTAACTGAAAAGTGATATATAATATGATAAAGGTAATTAATTATGACTTTAAAATTAAAATTAAATAGATTAATAATTTGTTAAATTTATAGGATAATATATTAAAAACATAGATCCCACTTGATATATAAATTAATAATCTCTTTATACATCAAAATTATACATGTGAGATAATATATTAAAAACATAGATCCCACTTCATATATAAATTAATAATCTCTTTACACATCAAAATTATACATGTGCATGACTCAAGTAGAAGGTTTTTGTAAGATATAACTTTAATGCTAATTATTTTCTCTTGAAATTTATGTTTTCCTGTACCTCGTTTTTAACTTTTTTTAGTGCATTAGAAAGGCTTTATGTATAGTTTTCTTATATTACTAAATATATAGAATAATGACAGTTCATAATTTAGTAATTATATAATATTTTTTAATCATAATAACATGATACATTTATTAACTTTAATGCTTTGAAAAAGAAAAACCTTGATAAATTATTTTTTATAAAAATAATGAAAAAGAAAAACCTTGATAAATTATTTTTTTATAAAATAATGTATAAATTATTAATTTATTAATTTATTAATTAAATAATATTTTTATTAATTAATAAATTTTCATATTCCAAAATATATTAATTCATAGACGTTCAACTGTATATAATTAATGTTTTTATATGTCAAGGAGATATAACTCTTTAAGAGGTCTTAAATTAGTACTGTTACTGTGTGACAAAAAATAAAACATTTATTTATTTCTTGGTAGGTGCACAATACACAGAGTCTCTTCTCTCACCTTTCTTCCCCTTCCCGCGCTCCCTCTCTAGTCTCTACTTGTGAAAGAGCAAACCATAGTCCATAGATATCTTTTACCTCTTGAGTCTTCGTCAGATCAGTATTATTATGAGTTCCATTGGTGGCAATGTCAAAATAAAATATTATATATTTGGCATACATTTCTAAAATAAGATTATAATGACAGTATAAAGGACGAATTTATGAACGTTTACCTGTCCATAATCATACAAAATTGCAAGTTAACTAAAGGGGAATAGGGGGATACTAACACCAAAACCGTCTCAGAATTGGAGTGGAGAATAAGGAGGTAAACTACTTAAAATGAAACTCTCGTTGACATTATTGTTGCAGAAGTAACCCAAAATTTCAGCTGCTCAAATTCTCAATGATTTTGGAGAGTGCTGAGTGGGTTCCAAAGGCTGATGATACAATCCCTACTGCAATGATTATGATACAAACTACACCCTACAGGAAGAATAGCAAGAGATGGGAATAAGAGCAATATCAAAATCATCAACTATGCTTCCAAAGTGCAGACAAAATTTAATGCTAGAAAGGGAAATATAGAAGGGAAACGTTAAAAGGGTGTTCTAAGTTTGTGAATGGGGGCATTAATAGCAGTGGCATACCTGAAATCTTGTTGCTTTACCCCTCACGATGCTCAGAAAGCAAGCACAAGGAAGTATCAATGTCTGTTAAAGAAATTACTTGTAAGTTTAATTCAACAAAACCACGTAATCGATGGGAGACCAAATGGCAGGGCAAGGCTCCGATATGAAGCTAAATGACTAAAATGGTAGTAGAAAACTTACTACAAGCATTGTGAGCAAAGATCCAATCAATGACATGACCAAGCCTGTAATGAAAGAAAATGTCGATGACATATATAAATACGCAACCAAGCGAGGTATGGACTAGAAAATTGTAGGTTTAATGAAAATCAACTGGTTTTGCAAGAGACATGTTGTAGGATAGTACAATCAAGGGGGGCTAACCGAAAAAGGGGATGGCGAGACCGACGAGTAAGGTAGAGAACACCAACGCTGTCCTAATGCAGATTGCATACATGTGAGACTTCATGTGGTTAGATGGTATCAACTCCTCCAGACTCATTGCCACTGGAGACATGGTTAATGCATACTTGGTAAATGGGTTAACTACCTGCAAAAGAACAAACAATAAACTAGATCAAAGGAAGAGAACAGACAGAACAGGTAAAAGACATTTTTGTAAGAGCTGATGAGCATACCGTAGTCCACACAGCAACCTTTGAGACAACTAGATCTTGTGGCAAGTTAAGAGTGAATTGAGTCTCTGTTGATTCTCCGAACATCGTGTATCCCATATAAGCAACCCCGGCATACATCAAAGTACAAATACTGAAGCTGCATGGATGACAAAACCAAGCGAAGATGAAGTGAGGAATATTAAAATCATAGTCAATTAAAATAAGTTTCTACGATGAAGAAGGTTGAGCAACTTAAGATACCATGCCAGGAGAACTTTTGGAAATCTACTAGGTTGTGCCATGGAAGTGTAGATGTTCGGAAAAACAGCATGTCCTGAGTAACAATAACCGTAGAGACCAATGGCAACAGGAAGAGTTCCAAGATTGAGTACTGTCCCTTTGCTGTGAATGCCCACATTATCAACCAGACCAACCCAAAACAAGGACAAGACCACCAACACTGATGCAACAACTCCACCAGCTGGAAGAAAAAAAGCTGAAATTAAGAATATTTCAAAACAAGATAGCTGCTTATTTTGATACGCGCCTTGCAGCCTATGACATGCTAAGAACATTTTTTCGTCATTGATCAGATGATGTAGCTCAGGCAAGAAAAAAAATGCGCATCAAATGATTTTGACATCCGTTAAGAAATGTTTAAAATCCAAAATAACTTTATTTAAGAACACTTACCAGAAATGTAACTAAGGACACTAAGGTCTCTAAGCCAAACAGTAGGAAGAACAGCAAGGGTGGTCATCAAAGCAAATAGATGATGGGAATCCATCTCAAATCCACCCATACTTATATGTGCATTTGGAAATAAAGAGGATAAGTTATCACTCTCCAAAATTATATATTCAACGCAACAAGCCTGCAGCATTGAAGAATATTTAGATAGGTAAGCAATGCTATCAAATATCTTCTGCTCACTTCGCAATGAACATTGACTTTCACAGGACTGAAACAATGTAGAAATGCATGGCAATGCCAAGGAAATTACTGCACCTTTGTCGATATCAATTAATCAAAATTGATCACCTGAGGCCACGTTTACAGAATTGCAAATTTGCAGCAGCGAAAAAGTGGTTGCCATGGGTTATTATCTGAAGTATGCAAGTCCCATGGTTGCTTATGCCAAGTTAAAGAGGGGATCCATTCACTATTGAGTGACTAATATTCAAATAAATATGATTTTGAAAGACACAAATATCATCATCGGACCCATTTTACTGGATCTTGGTTGCTATATAGGCTGAAAGCAATATCATTTTGAACTTGGGTTCACATTAATTTTCAACCTTATAAATCATAAATTTGCTGTAAATCATATGCAACTAATGATCAAATAGGCAACTTGAGTCAAGTCAAACGAGGTAAACAAAAGAGTAGCCACATTTGATGCAGCAGCCTATAGTATAGGCAAATGGTAAATTGTGAACTTTTTGTCAAAGAAAACAAGATCCAACTTTGGGGACCAAGAATTTAAGTGGCTCAGAAAGAAATCTTGCTTCCCATCTCATTCTCTTTTAAGGAATAATATACTTGATTGATTAAAATACAGAAAGTAAATCATTCAGGAAAAGCCAGATTTACTTACATACAATTCCACATACAGTATTATCTGCAAAAAGAAAAAAACAAAGGCAGAAACGACAACATTACTGTCTAGTCAAATTTATACACCAGTGCTTGATACAATAGTCAGCTATGAAGTTTAAGAAACAAATTTTGCATATCAATTTAAGCATTTTAACCGTGCAAAGTCTTCAGGAAATGGAAAATAAAAACTAGACTTACTGAGATGACAAAGCGACCGGTGGTCCCGAAGGCAGCTTGGCCAATGTCTGGGTAAGTTTCAAGTCCTGGTTCACTATCCAAGCAGGAACGCAAGAGCATCCCGGTGTAAAAAGACAGAACAGCAAAAACGAACAGTATGATGAGCCCTAGCCATCCTCCTTCTTTAGCAGCGTAAGGAGTGGATAAAATCCCAACTCCACACAGAACATTCACGCCTGCATTGTGAACCACAACAAGAACACGGTAACCATTAAATTAAACAATCCTTTTCAATTTATGATACAGAAATTCAACTTGATACCGAGCCATGCAGATTTATAGTTAATTGCAAGTAAAACCTTACATAAGCATGCACAAAGAGGCCAAAAGGTTCAACAACAACCAGACGGATATCCTTGTTGTTTAGTTCGGAGTTTCCATGTGAAAACTAAGCCACCAAATTATGAAATACAAACATGGTTGGTTTATGCCCATAAAGGGAGACAATAATGAGATGTGAACACAGGCAGGCCCCCTTGTCTAAAAAACCTATATTTAATTTCATAAACAACAAATCATCCCTTCAGGCAGTTTTGGTTGTTGCAGATATTGGTAGCTACTGGCAATATGCTTTTCCTAAATTGGGTCTCTCAGACATGCCAGTCAGAGTAGCTCACTCATGGAGACACTAAGAAACAAGATGCCATCAATAGATAGACGAAACTAAACCTGAGGCCAAGTTAAGGAAGTGATGGTAAGAAAGCAACAGGACATCATCTGTAACATCATTGGTTGATGCGGTCCTGGCAATTGTAGGGTCTAGGTGGGATCAAGTTTGGTTGACAGGTAGGATTGCTGCTAACAATACTGTCTTAGAGGATGATTTTAGACAATCGTGGGCAAATACAAGCTGTCAATTGCATGGAGTACACACTACAATGGATGGTCTGGATTTACCCACGAGTGTGTGTTGGCAATTCTCCACAGAATTTTCCGTTGTGTTAACCTCAACTTACCATTAAGCACAGCTTGTCCAAATGAGCTTTGACGAGACATGGGAAGTTCATGTGAAACCTGGGAGGCTTTCTCATTCTTTCTAATGACTGATGACCTGCTCGATGTAATTCGAGCTAGTAGAGAATGAGAACTACGTCTTTGTGGGGGGAGTTGCTCCTCTTCTGGTTTTTGCAGTAGAGGTTTTACCACAGAAGGTAATGATTCTGGTGTGTATCTTCTTGTAAGTGAAGAGGAAAGAAATGAACTGCCTAATCTTGATAGCGTAGGTGTGCCCAAAAATGTAAGATTTGGAGATGGCACACTGCTGTATAAATCGATGGATTGCCTGAAACATCAGTCAACAACAATGGATGAGTATCTGGAGCTATAAATAGCACCAAATTCATATTAATGAAACAACATGAGGACTATTGGATTTGCAAGTTACATGATTCACAGATTGATTTCAATATCATCAGATTACTACTCGATATAGAAGAAAAGTTTTGTAAAGGCTCAAAATTCATTTAGGTGATAAGGAAAATCATTCGTTCGACCACTAGATTGGAAAAACAAAAAACATAGAATTTTTCAAACCCTTTTGGTTCCTAATCTTTGTGAAATTAATGAGTCAATGACCCCAATATAATCACTTTATGAAGGCCTATTAGAGTGAATTCATGGCATGATTTTCCTTAAAACATATTTTTCTTTGATAAATTATACCTTCAAGAAAGTCCAAGATTGACCATGACATGAAATCAACAGTGGAAAACAGAGCATAAGCAAGAAGGGTGAGAGAGAGGAAACCTGTAACTTTGAGGCCAGGAGGTGTTGTATAAACCAGTTTTACTCTGCTGCCGATTATCATCGGCCAAAGAATTATCAGAATCTGATTCATTATTATCTTCTTCACCTTGTCCATTTCTGCCAAGTTCCTTCTCTTCATCTTCTTCTTCACTTTCTATGTAAAAACTCTGGTCTGATACAGAATTCTTCATTTTCTATTTCTCCTTCTGTTTCTCTCCCCTAAAAAATTCCCAACTAAAATTAACAGCACAATTTTTTTTTATCTATTATGAGAAAAGAAGAAGAATTAATTCAAAAGCTTCAAAATTGAGTTCAAGGAGAAATGCTACAAACCTCAGGTAAAATTGACCACCTTTTGTCCTACAGGCTTTTGTAGCTTTATTGTTTTGGCATTATTTTTTTTTAACTGGGTAGCCTACAATGGTGTTAAAATTGTTATGGTTCATAGCATTTGAGAAACATCAATCAGAAAAAAAAAAAGAAGAAGAAGCAAGAATAAGCAAACGCAGAATCACCATCCAAAAGAGAGTCTAAATTTGGGCATGCAAGTATATTTGGAAACATGCTAAAATTTTCAAGGAAAACAAATATCCTTGGTTGTCAAGCAAATACAGAAAAGGAAAAGGAAAAGACAAAACGTATGGCAAGATTTGCAGTGAAAATCACAGAGAACGAAAAGATAGCCTTTTAATGCACAAAAAGTGATCGACAACTAGTAAAGGAAAGATATATCGAGTTTCCTCAACTCACTAAGGAACCAAACAGGAAAAAAAAGGGGGGTTTCGAGCAAAAAGTCTTACGTGGTATTGCTGCAGTCCAGCAAAGATTGCTGTTGTCTTTTCTTCTTTGTTTCTCTCCTCTTTGTTGTTTTGTAATATTGCTGCAATCCCGCAGAGATCTTAAAAGTGGGGGAACAGGAGAATCTTTATAGTTAAAGAATGAAAAGAAAGGGAGTTTTCTTCTCGAACCTGGGATCTGAAGAAACTCGTGAAAGACCAGAAAAAAGTTCTGGTTTCTTAGAGCTAGGAGACAAACAGCGACAGAAAACACACTACGACAGAACTTTGTGTTTTCCTTTGTTGTCTTTTGGTACTCTATTGAATGTATCTAAAGCTCCATTTATATATCTATATCGCTTTGTTTATAAGATGTGTCCATGCATTCAGATTACTTGGCTGCGATGGTATGTTTTAAACCTAATTCTTTATATAAAAAAATTAAAACAATATTTATTTACATTAGACGACCGCATTATAAGTCAATCCAAGTTTTTTATCAAATTAACATGAGGTAATCATTTTTATTTTTAAAACATGGGATAATCATGATACCCTGTAAGAATCATGATTTATTTAAAACATGAGATAATCATTTTTATTTTAAAATGTAAACTTTAATTTATTCTTTAAATCAATTAGTAATTCTTCTAAATCTTGATTAAATCATGATACCCTAAATCCATATAGTATTTGAAAAATCATTTTATTATCACGAGTGACCGAGGCATACAACCAATTAACGTGATATATATCATCCATATAATATGTGTGGATTCCATAATCATTACAGGTGGAAATTGCTTGTCAATTTAGATACCCTTTGATTATCTGTTGCAATTACTTTTAAAAATCCAAGGATTTATTTTTATCAACACAGGTATAATCTTGAATAATTGAGATAATTTCATAGGTAAGATGATGAATTTAATGCGATAGCATGTTCTAAAACCAAAACCTAATGAATTTAATATTTCATCACGGATCATGATGATTGATGCCGTAAACAATATAGATCTGTGATCGTTAGCAGCTGATGCAGGAGGAGAAAGAAAGCTAGATGTTTACATGCTTGTGCACTGCTGCTCATTATTACCACTCCGCCGGAAAAGGCACCGCTACGAGACAACAAGACTGCTGAATATTTTGAATAAATAAATATAGGAGGCCCTTTATACACTTTATTAGCTAGCGGAATTATCGTCGTGTCTGGGCTGTCCAGCGTATGAGTGCACTTGAAATATTCAATTATTTACCAATTTTCTCGGCTTTTTTAATTTGCAAAATGCAGGCTGATTTGGTGATTTAAAACATGATTTGTTGTATCATGTGTTTATTTTTTTAACCCGGGTGATCCGATATTTAAAAAAATAAAATAATTAAATTATTTTGAATATTAAGCTGATTAAATTAAACCTGAGTGTGATTCGGTACACCGAGTCTATGAAATCAGGTATTCAACAATGACCTCTTGATTTGTTGTTGCTACAGACAATGAGCAATCGCTGGCCACTAAAAACCGGAGAGCTGCTGAAATATTAATTAATTATTGAATTTACAGGTAAAGGACGAGGACTGGTCAAATCAAACGGCTTCATAAGGAGCATCACAGATTGATTCTAGCACATGATTTGCCTCATACGTGCAGAGAGCATTTTCAGCATCATTGTGGATAAGATGCCTGTCCATGTGAGACAGAGGGCGTGCAGATAGCTCATCAGCGTTTCATCACGTCACGTGGCTCGCTGTGATTTCCTATTTTATAGATCATCAATGGGAGTTGGCTGGCGAATTGGGAAGGCCCCATGATTTGATGATGTGACGGAAAGATTATGAATGTCACCATGGAAATTAGAATTTCAGTATACAGGGAGAGTGCCGGTGTGAGCGACAGTGGTTACGTAGCTAATATCATATTTTTAAATCCAATCCGGTGGATTAATCTGAAATTTAATTAATTTCAAATTATAATCAGGTTAGATTAAAGAAAAAAATTTGATAGAATTGAGAGTTGACCTGACTAAAAACTTATTAATTTTTATTTTTTTACTAAAATAATATTGTTTTAATTAAAAAATTTGATCTAAACTTAAACTTAGTAATATAGTTAAAACCTGATAACCTAATCAAAACTTGAAACATGAACTTTAGATTAAATCGAGTATGAAAATTATAGTTAAAATTATGTCTTATATTAATTTTAAAAGATCATAAATATGAGGTTTGAATTAAAGAGAAAAACTAAAAATAAAATTTTTGAAGTAATTTATTCTTTGTTCAAGTATATATATATATCTCAAATTTATGTTATTGGGTTTAATTAAATATATATTTTTTTAAATTATAATTAAAAATATATTTTTAATTTTTTTAAAAATTGAAACCGCAAAAACCGTGCAATAAAGAATATACAAAGCTAAAGTTGTCATAAGCATAGCATTTTGGCTTTTGGAATCAAACTGGCATCGAGGTGCGGTCCATATGTTAAATTTCCCATTTGAAACACAACAAGTTGGGCTGGCAAAAAACTCAGCATTCCATCTATATATCCTAGCCTTCAAACTTTAAAGAGCCTTTTCTACCTATCATGAGAAGCCTATAATTCAAGTGTGACATCATGGTGTTGCAAACGTGGACAATGCCTGTGGGTGACGTTTCCTTTTCATTTTCTTTCCCTTCACCAAACTGCAAGGTTGTGAGTTACCAAGCCGCCCAACTCCATGGAATGAAGAGAGTAAGTGAGACTAATGGACAAATAAGGTGCCACAGTAAGACTAGTGGTGCAGGAGAGACTGATTAACTTCATTCTATTTCTCCCCAGAGGATTCAATTACCTGGCTTTCCCCACAGAAGGTAACGAGGAAAGACAGAAAGTAAGGAAGGCAATAAATAAGCATACAGTAAAATTACAGAGACAATATAGATAACAGCAGAGGAAGCGTGGAGTTCGTGGACATACCTTCAATATTGAACAAATTAATAGTCAACAGCTGTTTTGATTGATCAAAACTTTCTACTGTTCGAGAGCCTTCAATATTGAACAAGTTGATGGAGGCCCATATATAAATGTGGGTGATTCTTTGACTCGTCAAAATACGTCAAAATGCCATGGACGCCGGATAAGTCACAATGTCCATCGCATACAAAGTTAAGTGTGTGGTCAAAATGCCATGGACGCCGGATAAGTCACAATGTCCATCACATACAAAGTTAAGTGCGTGGGTGGTGATCAAGTGGTAAACACTTGGGATTAAGGAATTTGTTTTCTCTGTGATCTCAGGTTCGAGTTCTTGGTTGCTCATATAATGGCCACTGGAGATTTACATAGTCGTTAATTTTAGGGCCCGTGGAATTAGTCGTGATGCGCGCAAGCTGACCCGAACACCCACGTTAATCTAAAAAAAAAAAAAATCAGTTCACCGTCATCGTGTGTCCAAAATGCTCAGGCCAAAATGTAATGTGCTTTTATTTTATACATTCTAATACAATATCAAACACTCGGCGGGGAAATGTTTAGTTAAATTTCCCTCACCATGTCATGTATTGCACCAAATGAATGACCCATTCATTCTTCCTTGCAACAGCTATCTACTACAGATGTGAATATACGTTATCAAATCTCCAGCTCCAGCTCTATCTCAAAACATTTTTGGGGTTGTTGTGGATTGCCAATTTTTATTGATTGACCGAGTGATAGGAGCAGACTGAAAAACCTTAATCAACAATATATCAAATAATAGCCGTCATGACAAGAAACTATGGAAGCATGTACTAGGTTACTTGGTTTACATGAACTGCAACTCTGCAAGTACTTCGGTATGTATATTACACGAGAAAATTTAACGTGCAACTTCTAATTATTTCATATATAGCAACATCATGGCTTAACTCTAGCGGGTATAAATAAAGATCCACTAATTTAACGTGCAATTTATAATTGTTTGACATGTATCAACTATCATGCGCAGTTGGGTACGTAGCTCATTCCATCTTTTAGATAGCTCACTGCTAGCTGTGGGGCAAAACCATTTCAGCATGTTTGGACCCAATACCTGATCAAAAGCAGATTACTTAGCTACTAGAAGGATAAAAAGAACAACAACACAAGAATACAGTGAGACCGGGGTGATATTTTTGTAAAAATGGATATCGATTACTCTGTCCAGATTTCCTGGCCAACTACGCAGCCAATATTCCTTCATAGTGCTGGCAAAGACCCATTCTAGATATCATCAAAAAATAAATTGGGTTGCATGGTGACTATACAATTGAAAACTCAATTATATGGTCATCATATTGCGAATGATGAGATAAATATGTCAAGCCAAAAGAGTTCCAATTGTTATGCTGAAGCAAAACATCATTGCTCCAGAAACATTCTAAAATACATAGATTGTCAGATTTCTTAATAAGCCCCGGTAACTCAAAACCGTATATTGTATGAAAACTCAAGAAAGAACAGATATTAAGAGAAGGGACATTGAGTCAGGAACCACTAACAATATGCAATTATCTGTACTAGCTGATAGGAATAATTTAGACAAGGTTTACTCAAGTGCCATATGCCTGTCTAAAATTGATTCATTGGCTGAATAAAAACCAAAAGATTCCTGGCTTCAATTTACTTTCTAAGCAATCTTGTGAAACATTTTTCAAAATTTTGAGTTATGAGAATGATGATGGAGAAGTTTAAGACGTTTTAGATGCTATTCAGAACCATTCTAGCAGTGTATATTGCAAAAACTGTCTTTCCGACCACAATCTATGGTGGTCAGTGGCCATATTTGACCTTGCAATTTGTTGTCCTTCATATGATATGGTCTTGCATATCTAGAATTTAAGTCGTAAAGACTAAAGAGCAGAAAAGCATGGATCACAAAACTTTAGATCATGTTTTTTGGGGTTTTACTCTTATAAGGGAATGGACCTGACCATGTGGCAAAACGACTCCCAAAATAAGAACGGCATAATCAAAGGGCTGCCGTGCAAGATTAATAATACCCTCGTACAAGAAAAAAAAAGTCTTCATAGGAATCCTTCGGCTGAAGTCCCAGTTCTTTTGGAATGCGCAGCTGATTATCATGACCTGAGCATGCAAAAAGCTTCTAGACGACGATGGTCCTGCAATCAAGTTAGGAAATGAAATGAAAACCAAAATCATCATTCTTCTTATCGTCCCTTGTCATGGAAACCACCTAGAAGCTAAACTTGAGCCAACGAAAGAACAAATCATTCACTAAAACCACCATCTACCTAAATAATTCACAGTAAATCAATTAACAAATAAATCATCAAACAATAGCGCAGCCCAGAAAACGCAAGGTTTCAATCTTTGCACTGCAGGTATGAATTTACTTCCTCATTCTAACACAAAAGGCATAAATAATTGAACTTTACACCTAAATATATATACATATCCTTCTCTTGATTTCTCATCAGCCAAGCCAAAACCAAAGAATATAACATCATAAACCAACTCTAAAACACAAACAATGACATTCAAGATTTCTATTAAAGAACCAATTCAACTCAATAGCTTAAGCTATTAGGTGAGATTTTAAGATATGATTTATATTATTCTCTAACACATCCTCTCAAGTGAAAGCTCTTTGGACTTGAAACTTACACAGGCTCATATTACCTTGTGCTTAATTTTTATCAAATAAATAAAGATGATGAGATTTAAACCCATGACTGTTTGGTCATCAAGGTTCTAATACCATGTTATCATCAGGCTCAAAGTTCTTCTTTTTCCTCTCCTTTCTTAACTTGTCAAAAGTCACGGTACAGGGTATTTCGTCTCTATCGAAAGATGCACAGAGAGAAGAAGCGAAAGATGCAGAGAGAGAAGAAGTGTCTCTCTTCCACTCTTTCCTCTCGATCACATCGTCGATTAGAGACCATAAACCTGATGGGAGAGACAAAGAAAGTTGTGGTTTTGGCGGAGAAGAGGGCGTGGGAGAGCCAAAGATTTTATCAACTTGGTCTCTGAAACTATTCTCCATTCTTTCTCCTCCCTACAATCAACGACGATCATGGTAAATATAAAACTTTGACAAGTGAGGTTTTCGCATTATTTTTATTTTTGGATTAGTGGCGGTGGTTTAAATAAGGCAAAGAGGGGGTGATGGTGTATACCTATCACCGTCTTGTGGTGATTGTAGGAGTTTTGAATCGGTGTGCGTGCATGTTCTAATACCATGTCAAAAAATCATTTCAACCTAATAGTTTAAACTGCTAGGTGAGATCTAGGATATGATTATATTATTCTCTAACACACCCCCTCAAGTAAAAACCCTTAGGTAAAAACCTGGATGGTGAGATTCGAACTTGAAACCATTTAATTATTAAGATTTTGATACCATTTTAAATAACCATCTTACCTAAAAATTTAAACTATTAAGTGAGATTTTAAAATATAATTTATATTATTTTTTAATAATTTTATTATTTTTTCCTTGATTTTATCAAAAAAATATAAAATAAAATAAAAGTATACAAAACACATCACTGTTCAGACACGTTCAATAATAAGAGATGAAATTTATGATGTTTACTCATATAGTACTTACATTATTGAGTGGTTCTTGATGTGGCGGGGCAGAAGCTCCTTCAGCATCAGGAACACAAGGAGAAGGACATAGCTAGGTTCGGTTAGAACAAAAACATGAAAGGTGAAAAGAAATAAAGAAACCTTAATAGTAAAGATCATAGCATTCAAAGTTCCAGCTGAGCTCTGTAACCCAACTCAATCTTCAATAATTAAGAAAACTGTTAGGTAATAAACAAAACCCATAAACAAAAACACACTAGAAACTGGGATAAAAAGGAATCTCTTCCATCTGATTGAGAATTTTCGGGATCTTTCTCGTTCAGAAGCAGAGGTTTTACCGTCTGATTATCATAAGCCAGTGCAGTTGTTTTTGTACTTTTGTTGCTGGAGAGGAAGTTAAGGTGGTTATTCGAAGTGGCTTCAAGGGATTCCTAATTTTGGTCTTCTATGGCCACCAGGCCCAGTACCATGTAATGGCTCTAGTGATATTCTGGATCAAATGAGTAGGCTCGGCTGATTCGCTACAGTTTTCCTGGGTATCGAAATGAGGGAGTAGAACATTCTTAAGCCGGATTGACTATGGGCCGTGCTCTATCAAGCCCAAGTTATATTTCGAAATATTTCGGATGTGGTACGGATGGAATTCGAGGGGTGTAAAAAATGGAGGTGGGCATCCAACAAATTAGGTTAACTGGCAATCATTGTAAGAGGCGATTCTTCTGTGGTGGCCCAGCCTTGGTGCACGGTGCACCAAAGGCTAAAAGTGTTACGTTGAGGGTAAAAATAGTACATTGCAATAAAAGCTATTTTCAATTATTTCTCATTGTGACAGTTCACAGTGGCTTTTCACCATCTTTACTACCTAGGGTTTCTTTTTGATCCATGCAATTCTACACCGCCCTTTTTGAACCAGCCTCCTCTTTAACTGGCATTTGAAGATTGTCTTCCACTAGCCTAACAAAATCTGGTGTAACGTCAATTAATGGAAATAGCTTTTTTTTCCCAGAAAATTTAAACATAAAAAGTACAGAATGTGGAGACCATTATGCCTGTTGGATCTGGAGGCTACGTAGCAAAACCAACACAATTATCAAATTTTAGCCCTTTACACAAGCTATGCGTTGTTGTACTGCCATCCTTCTTGTGGCCTCAAATGACACGTACAAAGTTGATTGCTATGATCATTCAATTTCGATATCATTTTGTATTTGCCATTGTACATGTTGAGTAGGGATCACACCCCCACAATGAAATAAATACTATCATCATTTTCTGCAGTGGGGACCCTTGATTTTCTTCACGCATGGACCCAGAGATCTATTGCTCCACCTTGCGATCCTACAGGATTTAATTGACTATTTTGAAAATGATGTAACCTTATGGTTACAACGATATGTAAAAGTGGAATTCGACCACAGAACATTTCAAATAATTAATAATGTTTTAACATTTGTTTTTACTGCTCGTAGTATTTTCTCTAGATCATAAATTTCATACGTGGACTCACGATTGTTTTGCCTTTTTATATATTACAGTCTTTCATTGAATTCCAACTTATCAATTCAAGGTGAACATCAAACATATTTGTTAGCACAGCCAAGCCTCAAGAAAGTTATTGATCTTATACCCACGTCATGATCATGACAGCAAGGGCTAGAAAGGTATAAGGGTAGGAAATGTGACAATATTCCTTGATGTTAGTCTAACTCGTATGAAATGAGACCTCAGAAAGATACAATTCTGTTTCTGCTATGCACTGAACTCATCTGGCCAGTGAGCAATGGGAGGACAATAAACAGTGAAGAGGCAGAATACAGTGATTTTAATACACTAACACTGGTTTTTGTGAATTATTAGAATCTCTATTATGTCAAAATTAAGCTAGCTAACTGTCAAAAGCACGCACGTAGTTTTATTTACATGTGCATATGAGGCAATTCGAATAGCTGCCTTGGCTAGTAATTGTTTGTGGTCTTTATGTTACGGATTTATGCTCTCTTTATATATTGCACTAGTCCTCCATTTGATTTCTTGCACTTGTTCTAGTTCCTCACTTTCTCTTTGATGATCCTAAGGAGAGGGAGTGAAGAAAAAGTGAAAAATCATTTTAATTAATCGAGCGATTCCAACCAAGTTATATATCAAATCATAGGATATATATCACTCTCTCTTTATTGTCTTAATTATTTGGAAACCTAATTCTGGGATTGTACGCTCACCACATCCTCCAGAACTTATTACATCATGTTTGAGATTTGCCTCTAAAATAAGTTTATTAGAAAAAAAAAAAAAAAAAAAAAAAAAAGCAAATTGGAAATAGTGAACGGCCACTACAAGATTTCACAATTTCCAATAAGGCTACTGTGAAATGCTGACGGATTTTAATCCGTTAGGATGGTCGTCGGTGATAATACAGTGTACAAAAAAAATCATGTTTGTTTTGCCTATTTAACTTCCTATAAAAACTTAAATTACAAATTGTCCATCACACAAAACAATAACAACAGTGTTTAAACAATACATACTTATAAAAT